CACAAATGTATAATTTAATTTTAAAAACTGTGATGTCAGTTTATTACTTTCTTCCAATACTGAGCAGATTTCTATGAAAAGAGCTGATGCGCAGAGGATGAATCCCATTGTTTATTGTGACTTCTTGACAATTCCTTTAGCGCCACCATTAGGACAAATCTTTAGTTGTAGTTTACTAGTAGAACATAAAACTCATCAGTATGTTGTTCACTCTGTCAGCAGGTTCATATTGTGGGATGTAATGAAGAATGCAGCCTCTAGGGGCTGCTAGTGCAGTTTTAAACTTCAGACTTACAGGTACAGTTGCAATTGAATATTTTACATATAAAACATAATAATAAATACTTTACATGGCCAAAAGTAAGTGGACACCCAAAAATCACATACATAATTGATTGCTGAGCATCTCATTTGTGTGGTCGAAGTCAGAGCTCAGCTGGGGAAAGCATTTCTTTCTGGAGCCGGCTTTGTCCACAGGGGCATTGTCAAGATTTCAAGTTTAAGACACTATATGTCCACATACTTTTGGCCATGCAGTGTATAATATATCACCATACAATAATTAGTCTGTAACAAAATATAATACAGTATATAGAACTGAATAAATAGGCCATTAAAAGGTAAAAACAAAACACTAAAGGATCTATATAGTGGTTATCTGTTGTATCACACGCACAATTGCACAACATTGCCTTTCAGTGGGTGTCTTTGTTCAGTGAGCTGCTGGGTGAAGATAAAGATGCAGACTCACTCTCTCTCTCGCCCTCTCTCTCTCAGTGTTCAGTGTGTTTGTACTGCAGGCTCGTCCCATGGTGGAGGGGCAGCATACTGTTGGAGAGAGAGCCAGAATAACACCAACAACACAGACAGGACTGGAGAGAGAAAGAGAGGGAGAGGGAGGGAGACAGAGGGTGAGTTTGATTAAAGGGGTACTCCAACGATTTAGTATTGTACCTCTATAAAGTCAAATGGACTCACAAGAGACAGATTTTAAAAAGAAGGGTCAAAAATTGAAGCAGCAGAGGCTGAGATATCCTGATATTTAGGCCCTAGGAGAGGGCTGCCCAGAGTCGGGCTGGCGGGCCTTAAGGTTTGATTTTGGCCCACCTTCTAATAAAGTTATGTTCAACAAATACACTACATTGAATTAGGGGAATTAGCTTTTCCTCTACAATCAAAAGTATATTTATTTACCACTTATTTAATAATTGGTAGCATAAAGGCATTTTTTTTATGTTGATTGGGCTACTCATAACTTGCAACCATACATTTATTTAAGAGGTCACAATAGTTCCACTGAATTACTTTTTAAAATGCATGGGCCTCCATGGGAATAGGTTTTGACACTCCTGCCCTAGAATATTTTAAGCTCCATAACCATAATGGAAACTACATTTCCCGTCATGCAACCAACAGTATCTTTCCATTTGGCCCTCCCTGTCTGATAAATGCCCATGTCTTTGCCTTGTAATACACATTTTTTTGGTATGAATTCTCAGAGTCTCCAAGCCAAAGCAGAGATAACCCTGATGACATCACTGTGACGTCAACAGGGTTATTCTCTCAGAGCCTCAGAAAACATAACACACTGGTTTTCACACAGAGGTGGATTCCTCATGATGAGTAAACTGAACTTTACTGTATGTGTGAAGTCGGTGGAGTGCCCCTTTAAACAGACGTATCACTGGTCACTTCCCACAAGTCTTTTATCAGAGGTCACGACCTTTCTATGCTTAGGCGTTCGTCACTCTCTTTCCTCAAGATATCTGCAATCCCAAAACATCTGACAGTCTCCTTTTCTTGTCCTTTTATATCTATGTCTCACGCCCTCTGACCCAATGACCTCATTGTGATGTCACCCTGACTTCGGGTCCAAAAAAACGTCCACAGCTGTTCAGACAATCAGTAACCCTCTCAGCCACAAAGCACAACAATATTCAGTTTCTTACCTTGAAGCAGTTTTTGAATTTCTTGGAGACAACGTAGAGGATTATGGGATTGATGCAGGAGTTGATGGTGGCCATGTTCATACTTAAGTAGTCTAGCACCAACAGGAAACTGCAACCACAGAAGAAGAACACATTAAATCGGTAACAAGAACACGAAATTACAGTAGGGCATTAAAACTACAAAAACAGAGAAGAAGGAATAGGAAAAATACTACTTTTCTCAGTTTATTTGACTTTATTTGTGTTTGTACACCTACTTTAACAGTTCGCAGCGGTGTGCATCATGGGATTTGTACCCAGTGTTCTTCAGCAGGCGACTCAGATGGAGCGGAAACCAGCACAGAGCAAAGATCAACACCAGGCAGAACACGGCTTTAGCTACTTCTCTACGCTGTGGAGAGAAAAAACTTGCCTCAGAAGCCTTGTATATACTGATGTATGTGTGTGTGTGTGTGTGTGTGTGTGTGTGTACCTGTTTAAGGTGTTCACTCAGTGCGATCCTCAGACTTCCTTTCTGGTGTCTGAGCATCTCACAGGTCATCAGGCCGTAGAAAACGGCAGAACAGACCAGAGGTACGCAGAAGTAGAAGCCAAACAGCCACCAGTCCTTCGCATCCCGGTAGAACTGGAACATGGAGAAACACACTTTCAGATGTTCTAGAGCCATCAAATCTCAAAACGTGTTTAAATATATATTTCTAGCTCCTCTGGAACATCTTAAAATTTAATATATTAAAAAAACATTATAACCATTCCACAGACCCACAGTATATCTCAGGATAATACTTGATAACACTCGTAAGTCACAGACTCTTCAGAAAATGCTGAATAAACTTTGATCTGAATCTCTGAAATTGTACAATGGCTTGAAAGCTTTTGAAATTTTTACAAAATTCTCTTTTTCATTCTCCATTTTAGAACTTCTATAACGATGCAGAACCACACAATACTCTAGAACTGATACAGCATTCTAGAATTCTTGTGAAATTCTATCTGGAACCATCAAACATTCTTGAGTATCTTAACACAAGCTTCTTTTCAACACTCTAGAATCCTCAAAACAACTTTTACTGAACTCCTTAAAACTTTCTAGAACCTTGAATAACTGTGGAACCATCATACAGCACCATAACCTCCTAGAACCTCCCTAACATTTTGGAACAAACTGGACCTAACATTTTTTTGTGTTTAAAAATGCTTTCCACCAACGCAAACCTAGTGCTAGTTCTGGGCCAGTGCTAGTGTCGGTTCAGTTGGTTTAACTTGAGAACTTTCTCGAACTGGGAACCGTGATGCTTCTTCCAGTCACCTTCTTCCAAGTATTTTTTTGAAAGTTCTTGTCTTTACCAATAACAACTTTACAGATGACTTTACTATTGTCATTCCAGACTAACCTTTAGCTACCACAACCACTCGATCATAATCTCTCTTTGGAACAACCAGCTTGTCCGTAAATTCAACTGCCTTGTTATGTCAAGATTTTAATTTGAAGATTCAAATACTTCCAGGCAACTGGAACATTGTGAAAAGTATTTACTGGCAGCAGTTAAAATAATTTGAAAAAAAAAAAAATCTGTAAAGACTGATAGCAGGTCAGCTGACCCAGGTTCAGTTTTGAGTGCTGGGGCTGTCTGTCTGAAGTCCAGTCACGACCTGCTAATATAAACAGGAAATTATGTTCTAAACTGAGTTGAAGAGACCTCGCCCTGAAAAACAACTCATATCACTCAGATAATGGAAATGGAGTCCACAGAGACCATCCATCATACAGATGGACTGAAGCCCCAACCCCACCCTATGCCTGTAAACATTGACCCTTTCAATGATACTACTTCTTCATTGTCTCATGGGAAAAACATGTTTAAATCCATCTTGTTATTGAAGCCTCTGACCTGAAAATTCAGTTTTAGATCACTAAACTGTTGAATATAACTTATGTCCACCAACGTAAACCATGCTACATTTCTCAGGGAAAGATGAGTTTAGACAAAAGAGTAAAAGAGTGATAATGATGTGATGATGCTGACAACAAATGTTGATGCCACTATACTTACTGCATCACTCGACGTCTATATGGACCTATTAAACATGTTATGTGTTTCTGAGAGTGCGGGGAAGGTTTACAGACGCTATCAACACACTGACATAAACACAGACACACTAGACTACACGTACACACTCTCTCATTTCCCTCTGTTGCTCACATGCCAGCACGCACGCACACGCTGTAAACACACACACACACACACACTCACAGTCATGAAGGGTGTCGTGGGCTGCAGCATGCAGGTTGTTATGGTAACGTTCTTGTAGTCGAAGGTGACCATGTTGAAGCCGATGGCCTCCGGCACTGCCAACACCATGGACAGCAGCCAGATCACCACTATCTCCACGGCTGTTACCGTGGGAACACCTGTGCCCTGCACCCGTGACCAGGACGCCACCGCACGATACCTGGGTACAAGGATATTCCTTTTAATTATTTGTTCTTCAGTGGGAATTGTAAGTACAGGCAGCCATGTAAATTGTTAAAACTAACTCCTTAAGGTTTCAGCAGAAGTCACATGTAAACACAACTTTTCTACTTTACTTATTGTTTTAATTGAAAAATAATATGGTGTTGTTTTAGTTTTACTGTACAAATATTCTAGACACCAAAGCACAAATGGTTAGTTAGCAAATCAGATCTGAGAATTGAGCACAAAATGACCAGAAGAGTTCAACAAATCCACAGAAAATAATCATGTAAAAACAAAACAAATATATATATAAAAGTAAAGAAAAGAAAGAAAGAAATCTGCTGAGACTTAGATGAGTAGATTGATTACACTGTCATGTCTGCACAGTAAAAACAAAGCTACACAAGCTTAGCTTAGCATAAAGATTGCAAACAGGTGGCATGTGACAAAATCCACCTGCCTGCACCTCTAAAGTTCACAAATGAACCTGTTATATCTCGTTTGTGGTTGTTTCATCAGACTGTCAAAGAGAAAGCGAATAAGCCCATTTAAAAAATGTTGTTGAACTGTTCCTTTATTAAACACATAATGAGCAATGTGTGTTACCTGTCCACACTCAGAGCACACAAGTTGAGGACGGTGATGCCGACTGAGGCTTTCTGCAGGAAGGGGAACAGCTTACAGAGGAACAGCCCAAACACACTGTCTGCAAACGGCCACCGCATTGCCAGGAGCTGCACACACACACACACACACACACACATACACAGGCAATTGAGGGATTATCATAAGATCACAGTGTCAGTGTGTGTGGTCTGTTATCAGTTTCAGTGGGATATTTTAGTGCCGTTATCAATGTAACACTTGACTTCCTGAGACACACAACACATGCTGCTGCCATGGGAAGTCGTACCCATAATGCATTTCTGCTCCTGTAAACTATGTCCCAGTCTTAACAAGTGAAATAACCAAGAGCTTATAGATTTTAGTGTCATTGTTTCATATTTTTATGTTTTGTGATCAAATATTATAAGCAAAAAAGACATCAATGTGATGATGTAATATGGATTAAACAACTTTATTAGTGAAATAGTACCCCAAACCATAACCACATGCACAAATGAATTATTTACAATAATACAATAATTTATACAATGCACTTTATTAAGTGTTCAACTCCTTGGCTTATGTATCGGTAAATCATCTCTATCTAAAATGAGAAACCATTTAACCATAATATTTAAATATTTAAAGCTTCAATGAGAGACTTGATTCTATTCTATTTTCAAAGGGAATCCAACCCAGTGTGAGCATTAAAAATAACTACATAGAAATAGCCAATCTTCTCACTGATGGTCTTGTTTGTTAATGTAGGCATTATAGAGGCATTGGCATTAAATTCAGACTGTTTCATAACCTGTTAAAAACTCCTTGTAGTAGGTTTAGATACATAAACATGCATGAGCAACCATATACTAAAGCTGTACCTTGTAGACGTTGATCGGTATGTCAATGGCGATGTATATCAGGTCTCCCAGGGCCAGGCTGGCTATCAGCGCATTGGGTCCATTCCTCATGCTTTTATTTTGGTAGATAATCCTGAGCAGGGTGCCATTTCCAATGATCCCCACAGCAAATATAACACAGGACAGCACCGTGTTGATGTACTTGAAGGCTGTCTTTATTGATGTGGCCTGCAGGCAGTTTGGAGGAGATACCGGGCGCATCTGAACCACCAGGGAGGAGTTGGAGGTGGACGGGTGAGGCTTTCTTTCATGTTTGTGTTTCAGCTTGTTCGCATGTTTTGTCCTGCCTTTTTCCACTGTGGATGGGGCCTTGTTCACAGTCTCTTGCACCAGATGTGGTTCTCTGTCTAAGGTCTGGATAAGGGGTTCCATTCCTAGTCCTAGAGGTGGGTCAGTACCATGGAATTCAGGCATGTCCGACGTGATCAGATCTGAGATCTGAGATGACTCAGATGAGAAGTTTCTGTGGCAACCAACCGGATTGACAAACATCAAACCCCAGACAAGAAGCAGCACGGTTAACATACCAGGAATTCCCGAACCTAATCTGGGTCCCATTCTGGAACCTTTGACTGAATCCACTTTTGTGACTCCAGAGACCATCCTAGAGCCCGATGTGACTCTTGTACCAATTCCTGTACCCGCTGCAAATCTAGAGCACGCTTTGGAATCTGCAGTATTTGCAGAACTTTCTGTAGCTTCAGAACGAATTCTAGAACCCACTGGGATTCTAGAACAGAGTTCAGAACCTGCTCCTATTTCTGAATGTATTCTGGAACCAGCTCCCAACATTCGCAGATTCTAAAAGCCTTTCTAAAACCCTGCTGTTGTAGCTCCAGAATCAGTGTCGAAGTAGTTCTAAAGGTTTCAGAAGTTCTCAAGATTGAAGTGGACCAGCAGAGAATAGAGAAGGTGTCAGGGGTTTGTAGATTAATTTGGGGATTTGGGGCGCCGAGAAATTCTGGAAAGCAAGATGAAATTAATGAATAAATGATTGCCTGTTATCAATTAAACATATTATTTTATATATATATATTATATTATTATATTCTATTGTGGAAAAATGTTAATCCTCACTCAAATTTCAAAGTTGCAGCTGATTAATTTTTATAAAGCAATAGAATAAATAAAAAATATTCCTACCTGTTTGTATTCTTCTGTCTCTGGTTTTTACAGAAAATAAATCCTTCCAAACACTTGAGAGAATAAGAAGAGTTGATTTCTGCTGAAAACTCTCTCAAAACTGACGGAGGTCAGTTTTACACACACACTCTCTCTCTCTCTCTCTCTCTCTCTCTCTGTCTGTCCATAAATTCTTGCACGTCCCCACTACTCTACTGTCTCTCACTTCCTCCTCACTCTACTCTCCTCCTCTTTCTCCTCCCCCCCCCTCCTTCCAATATCTTCTTTATCTTGCCTTCTCTTCACACTTTTTCTCATCCTCTCCCTCCTTTGTTGCCCCTTGTCACCTCCTCCTCCCCCTCTTCCTCCTCCTCCCTTTTCTTCTCCTCTTTCAGTGGGTTACAGTGGAACATCTCAAAAGCCCTCTGACATGAAGTGGCTCTGAAGTGTTCCCACTTAAGAGGAGCTTTATAAAACAATGTTGTGGAAATTGAGCTGGTAAAATTTATTACTGTATATAAACAACAAATTTGACTTTATTGGAGCGTTTGAACACTAGTGACGGCAGACTCCAGTCTCACTTTATTAAACCACCAAGTCCTGCTCTCTATCAGAGTTCACTGAAGCCATCCTTTCTTTATTCTTTCTGATATTTCAACAAGGATTTATTTTATTTGCTGTTCAACCATTTACTAATGTCACCTCAGCCGTGTAAGGAAGGTTTCCACAGTTCAAAAAGGGGCTTATTGGTTATTTTGTGGTTGCAGAAACCGCCAGTAACAGATTTCTGGGGGTAAATTGTGCAGTAGAAACACACTAATTAACACTTGCACTACTTTTTAAAGCGAGAAAATGTAAGTTTTCAGCGAGCTGCTATCTGTGCTGTTTGGTGCTCAACTGCTGCCTCTCAACACTATGAGAGCGGTGCAGTGAACCATGTATAACTGCAATTTGGTGATGGTTAGTTTGCGTAGATTTGGGATTTTATATTCATTTTGCCAAAAAACTGCTGCCAGCTTCCACAAAATGTATTTTATTCCAAGATATATAGTGTTGTTGAACAGGTGGCAAAAGTACATACATTCTTTACTCAA